GTAATGAATTAAGGTGCCACAGTTAGGTTCTGCAGTAGTTTCTGTTAAATTGCATCATTGTGTATTTGAAAATATTTCACAACTAATGCTTCAAAATAACATTCTGACTAAGGGGAGGGGTTTCTTCCTAATTTGACAAATGGCAGCGACAGATGTAAACAAACCAGAATACTAATGTTTTGCTGCCTATTTCATGTAGGAAAAAATCATCTAAACTGACATCTGCCTGCTCCTTGTAAATCTGCTTTCACTCAGTAGGACAGATAGATTTCCCTTAAAATTTACATTCTGCTGTGGGCAGACAAGAAATGCCCCCATCATTCGAATGACATACAATGTAAAATGATTCGCCAGGATCTTCTACAGTCTCATTCAGAATCTCCTGGATCTCAGTGGGAGCTGGACTGGGCCATGGAATTACTCACTATTTGTGCCTAAAACTGTAGACCTTGGCCATCAAATGGCTACTGAGCTTTTTTATGAACAGAGGGCTGTGCGATAGCTATTAAGATGAATTTCTGACTGGACTGATTTACTGTTCTAAATTATTTTGCTGTCTATCAGTAAGCTTACTTTTGTTGACTTATGTTTAAGCTGTAACATTAGCAAAAGCTTATTTTATAAATACATTAATTGCAGTGATGAAAGATTTGCAATCAGTCTACCTAGTATTACATTTCTAAATTTTGCCTTAATATGATAGAAGGTTACAGTACTGGTCTCTGTTTCTGCAGACACTTAAGATGTCCATTCTTTGGGAGCAGCCTAAGATATAAGAGGAATTCTGTTAAGAACTTGGAAAAATAATAAACCTTACTACTTACATGTAAGGTGTGCTTTTCAACCTTGGCTTTATTAAACATAAGGACTGGAGAACAGGGCCTCATACATATCAATTGTTTATACATACATAACTTTAAAAAAATCCAAATTAAAGCATTTCACAAACATCTGCCCTGGGAGAATGGTGTGAGAACAGATGGACAGAAGTTTGTCATATCATTTAATGCATAGCAGGGAGATTGATATCATGGTGATAAGCATAGATAACCAGTATATAATAGGTTAGAAGTATAAGAAGCCAAAATCAAGTATATATCTGCATGCAACATCTGTGCAACTGGAACAAATTCATAAGTAGTTTTCTTGACTACAGTATTGCCAGTTTTATATGTGAGCTACACAAACTGGGTTTGAATTTGTTTTACTGCTTTTTAAGTCAACTGGAATTCTGTTGGCATAGCAGATAATACTTTTTTACCCTCTGTGTAAAATTCTGTCCATATAGGCAATGTTTTTGGGAGGGTCACCATTTTCCACAAAATTAGTGTTCCTAAATGCCATTGGCAGCTGTGTAAATGTAAGACAGTATCCTTATAAAAGTATTCTATGGACTTCACTAAAATTGCAAATAAGTGGGTGGAAGTCCACTAAAATAAAGAGCTAGAACAGAATTTAATTTGACCACATTTATACAAAATGTGAAAATTAAAATCGCTTTAGTCTTAACATTTACATTTCCAAACCTAGTAGCTCTTTTAAATGGAAATATACATGTTTCTGTAGATTAATGTTTCTTTTTTTGAGAGAAAACAACTCAAAACACCTTAATATTTCATATTCTTGTGATTTCTTCATATTTGACTCATTCCCACTGGCACGTATCAGAGTCACATACAATTATGGATTTTCACTGAGCATTAAGTGTTAAAGGCCATCTATGTAACTGAATAATAGTAGTTGCTACATATGTTGAGTGTCTGTTGTCTTGTAAAGTTTTAGATGGTGATATAAAACTGATTTAGCTGCTGGTTAGAACTAAATTATTTATACATTGTAATTAAATTAGTGAATCCTTTTTTACATAGCTATGTAAATTGGCATCCTTGAGGCCCAATAATTTGAAACTTTCATGATTTAAACTTAGGCAGTTTGAGTTGGGAACCTTAAAGATCCTATCTTAAAAAGACTTGTACAGATGGGAATTACAGCCTGCTTGCATACATAAACTCAGTCACACATCTTGCAGGTTAAACATTATAAAATGATTATTATAAACCTAAGTGCTTTTCCCTAGATTTTAGATGTAAAATAAATGACAAAAAAAAAAAAACAAGTTTATTCACACAGTCTTAAAAACAACCTTTCTTCACAGTCCTAAGAGTTCTCTGGAAGCATCTAAGCATATGAAAACAGGGTTTTCCTTCTCAGTTTTCGTAATTGCCAGTTTCATATGAAGATAAACATTGGATGATTCATGATACAAACAGAAGTTACTCCTTCCATTTTTGTGTTGTTTATGTTTCATTATCATTAGTGTTTTTACGGAAAAAAAGCTAAATTGTATCCTCTGTTTTTTAAGAATCAAGTGCAGAAGAGGACAGAATATTTATGTGTTTGCTACGTATTTCGTATTTTACATAATATCATGAAGCATACCTGTGTCATGCTTCTTCACTGTTGGATGCAGGTGTATGAACTATATTCCAGTTAATACATCCATCAAAGAGAAGTAACTTATTTTTACCACAAATATTTAAAAATATTCTGTATAAAAGATATGTATTGGAACAGTCATCTAATAGTAGGTTCTGGTTCCAATTTCAGAAGAGGGTTTCCTCAAAATTTTAAATGCTACAATGTAACAAATTCTTAGATTCACCTTATTAGGAATGGCTCGCATCTGCATTTCATTTCTTAAGAATATGCAGGAAAACTGAGTGGTCAACAAACTGGTTTATAGGTTCAAATTTCTGTCTTAGAACTAATAGAAAAAAGCCGAACAGCTGTTGCTATTAGCTACAGATTTTGAACCAATATACAGCCTATAATGGTATAATAAACGTGGGTAAACAAATATGTTTCAGAATTTAAGTCCTGAAGAAAGGCTAGAAATCAGTTCATTCAACTCCAATACTGTTGTTTCTCATTTCAGTTTGTCCTATTTAACACAGAAAAAAAAAAAAATCTTCAAAGATAATCAGGATTTGCGCCTGTTTGTGTTCTTTTTACACCACTCCTTTGTCCATGAGTAATTAATTTTCATCTGAATATTCCTATGGGGCAAACTGGGGCATTAATTTTGCAATAACAGTCCCAGCTAATTTTAACAAATATGTATATGAGAATGGATGTGACATAGGCAAACAGATGTGTAAAATAGACAGATACATCCTCTAATGGCCAGGTCTCCCTTACTTAACCCCAAATTGCAATTTTGTAACAGGTCTGTTAAAAAAAGTTTTCTTTGGCTCAGGTAGGGTTGTCCTAAGACTGCATGCTACAGCTAGAGGCAAAAAAATCAACAACTCCACATATGCAGTTCAAGGATGATCATAATTTTAAATCAGAATTATATTTTTTGGTACAGATTTTTAGCAACTGTAAACATGCCCTGAAGTCAATAAATCCATGTTAATTTGCATCAGTTGGGGATTTATTTCTTTCCTTTCTCTCACACACCCAAACAAGGAGTTGCTATCAGTTCATCAGATTCCTTGGGATAAGAAGTTAGAAAATCAAAACCACCTGAGTTAACGGATGTCAAATACTACTGTCCAGGAGACATCCAGTATTCTAATCCACCATGCTATGGCGCTGGCCTGAGTTGAGAAGTGTTATGCATACATCCCAAATTACAGATGCTGGAAGCCAGAATCATCACCAGGTGATACTCTTCAGTTGTCTTAAGCAAATGAAGAAAGCTATGGAATTGTTACACTTCTTTGGACAGCTATTTTGTGTCATTTGTGCCTGCAGCAATAATAAACCCACCTGATAATGAGATAACTTCTCCAACTGCCAGATCATCTTTTGGGGGGGGGGCCCCCCCCCGGAGAAGCAAGGGGGAGAACTCCACCAAACAAACCCCTAAGTTTTCCAACAACCTTGAAGAGAAGATACATTTCTAGTATCAGTTCCCATAAACTGTAAAAATAAATTCCAATGTCTGCAACCCGGTGCCAAAGAGCCAACAGGCTGCATCTCCCCTGGGAACCTGGCATGCAGTACCTAGGAAATCCTCTACTGAGGGCTCATCTTTTATGAAGTCTTTTAGTGGAAAGAAGTTTTAAAACAAGTACATCTGATGCATCCAGAATATGGGCTCTGATATCCCCCTTAAGGTTTCTCTTTGATCCAGTTCTTTATCTAGAACTTTAGGTTTATACCTTTGGGGCATTAGCCTCTTAAAATGTCTGACCCTCTGAGTATGCACGTGTCTCCATCCTAAAACACTTCACACCATTGTTGAAATTGTAAGAATGGTACCAAGCAAAACCAATTTTCTTTGTAAACCTGGAAAACAGAGCTCTCTCACAGGGCCTGCTATTCTTCCCAACGTTTTTGTCAGGGTACAGTTCACATCGGCTACCTAATTAAATCTGTTCTGCCTGCCTTATTCTGGGGTTGTCAGCTTCTGTGAAATAAGAAAATGCCTAAAATCTTGTCTGTCCCAGGCATCTAGCACTTTGTGCACACCTTTCCTGGCAAGCAGCATTGACCTTCCCCACAGTATGTCTATTTGTTGTTATTTTTGTGGTAGCAGAAGTATGCTAGATGCTAATGAAGCACTTATATTTAGTAAGTGCACTGTTACGTGCTGGCTGTGAAGCTGTCAGCAGCACTGTGAAAGAGCACAAGCCTAACACAAAGGTGCACTGCACCGGGAATGGCATTTTTATGTTATATGGAAGGAAAGTACATTTAATGAGTTTATTTTGGTTAGCCTTCAGTTTAGTTTCAGGCCTGCCAATACTGACATCATTTTTCCAAGCAGGGAGCACCATCTAAGACTTCTCTGCATCACTATCCTTGGGGTGGGCCTGTGTGTGGGCTTATGCAGTGCTCAGCACTCCAGATCATTTCACTTTGGCATCCATTCTGCTTCTGCTGTCTCTATCTCCATATTCTATTTTAGGTGCTTACAGAGCACCAATCTCCTTAACTAAAATATAACTGAAACAAGATATTCAGCATCAAATAAGCAAAAAGCAAATCGCTCAAAATAGACTATGTTATTATTATGGGGTTAAATCACTTAAACATAGATACCTTCCTACTCCTCCTCCCACTTCTTTCTTTAGTTTGTCTCATCTTGTTCTCTCCTCAGGGATGTACTGCTGGCCCACAAGATTCTGAAAAAAAATAAAAAAAAAAAAAAAATCTGTTCCATGGTGGGTTCATGGGTGTCATCTAGCTTGATTCTTGTAAAAAGTATGGTATCATTAGAATCTCGACTGTCCTGACATCCTCATGTCAGCCCCTCATCCTCCACTAAGGCCAGACAGCATCCTTTAGAGAGTGAACCTCTATAGATACCCTTACCAGGCCCTCCTTCAGGTTGTTCCAGCTGGGTGTTTGGTAAAGTAAGGGATCTCACATCACTGTCCCAGGCCAGCAACTGCAGTATTGCATTGGCATGAAGACTCAGCTACATCTAAACCTTCACTTCAAAGTATAGTGTATCTATTACTAGGTCTGAGGGTATGACGAAAGGGGTGAATTTTTAATTAGGCACTCAAAGGAAGGATGTTGAGGGATTAGTGTGCTAGAGACTTTAGTTTGCTACAGGGCATCTAAGTAATTTGATGAGACCCAAGGCTTCTCTTACCACCTATTCCTTGCCTGGGGCTTGTGTGGAAGTGTTCAAGGCCAGGTTGGATGGGGCTTTGAGCAACCTGGTCTAGTGGAAGGTGTCCCTGCTCACTGCAGGGGGGTTGGAACTAGATGATCTTTGAGGTCCCTTCCAACCCTAACCAGCCTCTGACATCTCCCTGATGTTGTGCTCTTGGCAGTCAGCACTACGGGTACTGCTCCTGACTCTCAAAGGTGCTACGGCTGGCATTCACTATTAATTGAAAACCATTGCAGGGCTCTCAGCTGCCTCTCCAGCAAATGCCATTTGCCGGCTTGGCACAGGCAGCTCCGCAGCTCCTCTGGAGTCACTTTAAAATTTGCCTGAATTGAGGCTTTGGCTCGACTCGACTCTGGTGACGCTCCACGGTCTCCACGCAGGTACATTAACGTTGCGATTAACATTGTAACCATCACCACGGCCCCGGGCTCCGCAGCCCAAAACGTTTTGATCTCGTAGAGCTTCCTGTAACCTCCCGAGTACAGCTTTATTTCCCCCCTCCCTCCCCTTTCCCCAGCCAGCGGGGCCGCAGCGGGCTGGGGCGCCGGCCGTTAGCTTCCCGGGCAAAGGCGCTCCGCGCCCTGCCCGCTCCCACAGCGTCAGCGGAGGAGAGACAGCGGATGAGGCGCCGGGAGCAGACAAGCCCGCTTCCCTCGGCGGGCAGCCGGTGACAGCGAGTCACCCGCCTGCACCTTCGCTGCCGGTAGGGCCTATATTCTCTCGCGGAAGGTTATCGTTCATTGGCACGGCTGCACCCGACGGAAGCGGTGCTGAGGCTCTGAGGCAGCGCTTTGTCAAGGAGCGCCTGATTGGCTAAAGGGACTCTGCAATGGTTAGCTGGTAAGAGTCAAGCCCTGTGATTGGTTGCATTGTACCTGCAATGCGTCAAGTGAAGGTGCTGGAGAGCGTGTGCTGGAGTGGAGGGCTGCCGGCGGACACCAGTGGCCGGCTTCCTGGGTGGCGGCGGTCGCCCGCAGCCTGGCCCTGGCCGTGCCCGCAGAGGCCTGCGAGAGCCCTAGGGGTCTCGGCTCTTCCTGGCAGTATCAGCAGCCGTAGCGCTAGATTTCCCGCCTCTTCATGCTGCCGCAGCTTGCAGCAATAACAGTTGCTTGGCTCATGAGCGAGAGCTGGCAGGAAGAAGCTTTTCCTCAGTTATCTCTTTAGAGTCAGGATTCTGTACCAAAAAGCAGCAGAAAGTTGTTTGGTTTTGTTTTTTTTTTCTCCTTCCCCGCAACACAGGGTCAGAGACACAAAATGTGGCGGTAGAAATTCGTTTATTCTGCCCTTCCATTATCAGTGTGAGAAGTGTTTCTTTGCTGCTCGAAATGACAGTTTGAGTGACAGTTGGAGGAGGATGCGCACGATAAAGTGATGAGTGATCTCTTAAATATCTTGCTGAAACGCTGCAAAATCTTTCAACACAAAGAGACAGTTCTGCAAAATTAGCCTCAAGCTGCAAAGCTGCGCAGAGGCACAGGAGGCTGGCCTGCATCCATACGGGATTCAGAAACATGGTTGGGTGTCTGGCCCCTTGGTCCTAGCCAAAGCCCGCTGCAGCCTTCTTGCATAAGCAGCTGCAGGCATGCTGTAACCACTTGTGTGGTGGCTTTTGTGTGTCTCTAATTGAAATAAGCACAGTTAAACCAGAAGCAAACAACAAAGCCGCCTCTGCACCAGTAAGAGGCTTACAGGACCGCTTTAAACATGATGGGAGTTTCAAACCAGCAAAAACTTCCCGGCATATCTGCAAAGCTACGTCTAAACGTAGAAGTAGGTTACAGACACTCCTATCTAAATTCTTCAGTATTTCTGTTACTGGAATGTTTTCATTGCTCTTTTTCAAAATCCCATTCTTGACGAGTGAGTCAGCAAGAAGTCTGTGAATGTGTCAGGGAGCAGTATTTTAAACAAGGTTTCACTGCTAAGCAATTATTAAAGAGCATGTTTACATATGAAAATATTGCAATTTTGTACATGGACATAATGGCCCAATTTCTTGACTCTAGCAAGAGTTCTCTTCCTAATTACCATTTTTAGGATGACATTCCTGATGTGCTCTTGGGAGGATTTTGAGTTAAATTCCATGGTAATTTCTTTCCTTTATTCTGTTTGCTTACTAGGAAGTAGAACACTTTTTATTTTAAAATTATCATGATTTTCTTTTCACAGCCTTACCGAATACCAGCTGCTTTCCTGCTGGCATGAACACTTCTTACTGTCTTTTATTCCAAGGAATTCATTCAAAATATTAAAAACAATCTAGCCACTTTTCCTTGTAGTCCTAGCTAAGTGGAACAGGTGCAATGAAACCTTTATGGGAAAATTATGTGCCTATGTAATTATAATTATAATATTTATGAGTGAAGGTTTTCTAAAGTGAAACATAAAAGCAAGACTGCAAGCTCATTCAGTTTCTTACTTGGCCATTTAAAGTACGATAGCATTTTTGAAAAAAGACAGTTTTTAAAATATTAGCCTGAGGTCTTAACAAATAGAAAGGAAATGGGTTTAACACACTGGTAAAGGCATTACACAGCATTCTGCAGAACAACCTTAAACATTATGTATTAGTCATAAAGCCAAATTTTTGTATTAATTCACTATAATGACTGTACAAATAATAGAACTACATTCATGTCAAAGAACCTGAAAAAAGCTTTTAGAAATGACATCATTATTCAATGGGAAATAATTATACCAATTTCAAGGTTAACAAGTAAATCATAGTTGCCCCAGATAGTCTTCTGTAAAGCAGACTGTTTAAAAGATGAACTCAAGAGCCTTAGTGTATTCAGGACAGCAGTGATAGTCTAAGAATTGTCTTGCTTTGAGCACAAGTCGCTAGAATGAGTCACTGTGAATAAATACCAACTACATGTTTATTAGAAAGCGTTACATTGATCAAATTTAGGTAATTCTAAATCAATCAACTCTGAATGATAGTGCTACATTTTCTACAGGTGCTCTATGTAGGCCATGTCCAGAGCCATTGGTAAGCATGGAAAAGGTAACGTGGAGTAGTAAGCAGAGTTCGTTACAGTTCTAAATATATCACATTCAAAACATTCTGATTAAAAACATGCACCGTCCATTTAAAGCAACCATTTTAAAAGCAATGTATTTACAGTAATGTCATTACACTAACATGTGTTAAATATATGCAGGTCTGCCATCTTATGGAGCCTGAATGGTACTGCCAAATAGCAGAATATGAAACTACATATTCATATTGGAGGAACAGTTTCAGTTTTCCCTTTTCATGTAATCTGTCCTTTCTTCTAAAACTGGCACCATATGACTCATCGTTTCTATGTGATATGTGTTTCTGTGTAGTATTATTTATATGTGATACTGTGTTTATGTATGCATGCAAGTGTACACGTGTAAACACAGTCAATAAAGGCATTACAATTGCAAGTTCAAGCATGGAAAAACTGGGAAGCATTTAAGTTTGTTTGTTTACATTATATGACAGCCTTGAACAACTCCATTATATGTTATTTTTTTCTTCAGGACCACTACCTGATTCAGCATTCAGGTGCTATTTAGTGAATAGCTGTCAGAACTTTGCTTTAGTGTCTTTGCATTGTGACTATGCTGTATTTGCTACAAGCTAGTTAAGCCCTACTCTAAAGACAAAGTTATTAATTTCTATATGGGCTTTTCTGTACTGTTATTATTAGAGTATTATTATGAACAAAATTGAATGAAGTTTGTACAGGCAGACAGTCATCATGGAGATTTTCAGCCCAAGTGATTAAAGTTTGGCAAAGCTACTAACGTTGCTGAAATGATGCTCATTTTTTTGTTTGATTTTCTGTTTTTATAAAAGCTGATGTCAGATAAACTTGATCAACGACTTCTGGGTCAGCCACGAACAAATACAAAAGAACGCGTGAGTGTTATAATTAGCACATCAAGTATTATTTTACATTATTTTCCCTTTAATTGGTTCAAATTTATTTTCAGGTGAGAAGGATTCCTCAGGAAGACCTTGTTACTTTGCTTTTGAAAAGTTTGAGGTGAGTTAGGAAGGTGGTTGATCCAAGTGATTGTGTTACTGTCAGATATTGTAGAGGAGCACTTAAGCAAGTTGTACAGCTTTCAGTAAAGTTTTTCAGAGTCCTACCGTTTGCTGGAAAATGTGTTTACCATTTTGGATTATTTTAAAATAATACAGTTTGCCATTTGAAAGTAAGCCATCTTCCAAGTGAACACAAGTATTTTTACTCTAATGTAATAGCTATCACTTTGCTTTAACAGATCATCAAAAATTTAAAATGAATTCATTCTTAGCAAATATTCAGATAAGGTGCACAATGTCATTATATCAGTTAGCTTCAGGATTTTCATTTTTGTGTGTTTTGTCTGTCCCATATGAGCAATACCAATGAAGCCAAACAGGCTGTTGGCTGGTTCCTATGTTGCAATCTTGTGTGATATTATGTTCTCTAGTAATGCCAATTCTTTTTGGCCCAAAGAGTCAGCCAGCTTTCCGCATCTTTAAGGTAGTTTTCATTAGCAAAATAAATTGATGAAATGAGATATGACCCCCTTTATTTAGGAAAAATGGGCATAACATTCTGATTTACGGAGCACAGAGAAATTCAGATGATTAGGAGCAATTTATTTACCTGTAGTTCCCAGAATCTCTGTAGGCAGCTGTATTCTAAAAATCTCCTTCTGGCAATTCTGATGCCGCACAGACAGAATTACAGCAGCTTCCAGACCACTTTCTCAGTTCTGAAATGATCTCTAAATCCTCAGAAGACCAGCTGGACTGTTTGACCCTCCTGTTGCTGGCTCAGGCCCATCATTCACCAATTATTGGACAGTGAGCTTCATACATATGTCATATGAATTACCAGCCTGCTTGCCTCTGCACAGTGAATGTGGGAGCATATGAGAAACTGGTTATTTACAGTTTCAGAATGTAATTTAAGTTAATATCATGTGCTATTTGATTTTTCAGGTAACAGGTCTATATCAAGGTTACAAGAAACAACAATGCAATGATTATTAACAACAGAAGCATGAGATGTAACATTGGTTTCAATACATTGGTAGATTTTGGCGACAAGTCTTTAAAGATACCATGCCAGTGATGTTTAGTAAGTCTGGTTTCCACTTTCACTAATTGAAACAGTTAATTCTTATCATATACCATTTTTACTTGTCTTTCATCTAAACATTTTCAATTTCTGACAGATGTTGGGTAGCTTTGGCATTTTGTTTGAGAAAGGCATCTTGTGGATCAAAGATAATTCACATGTTACTGTATCTTAAATGGTGTAAAATAAGACATCTTTTGTTCAATCAACAAGAAATTAATCTGTAAATCTGTTTGCTAGGTACAGATCCCATCATTGCACATCAGTTTCATGGGCTTCCATTATGGGTAACAGCTTACCAATTAAAATTGGTTTTAAAGTAAGAATGGGTACACATAACTTTATTTCCCTTTCTTGAATTAACGGCTCAGTAGTTAGCAGCCTCTCATGCAGCTAACAGCACTTTCTCAAATGAAGTATAGTTGGGAGCTTTGCCACAATTTACAACAAAATGCAATAGATAAGCTTTTTACTTTGCACATCTTGTTGCCATAATGCCTATTGATATCCCTCATAACCTATGCCTATATATATTCTTTATATACATTCTCACATATATATTCTCACATATATATCACATATATATTCTCTCTATATATTCTGTATATATATTCTGTCCTATATTCTCACAGTCCAGAAAGCCAACTGTATCCTGGGTGTGATCCTAGAGGTGATCCTGCCCCTCTACTCTGCTCTTGTGAGACCTCACTTTGAGTAGTGTGTGCAGTTCTGGTGTCCTCAACATAAAAAGGACATGGAACTGTTGGATGAAGTCCAGAGGAGGGCCACGAGGATGATCAG